AATTATGCTGCTACACTGACTTGAACTTAGGTACACAGTATTATTTCCACTGAGAAAAAGAAAAGTAGTGCTTACTTCTTTTGAAGAGCTGAATATCTTGCATACAATTTTTAGGTGATTTTGAAAGTTGTTTTCCAACTGCATGTGTTTGAGAGGACTGTCTCTGTTATTTAGAACTTTTAAAGATGGCCAGATTACCTATATGACTGCATTTTTGAGTTTATGTAAATTGTTGGCAATATATTGTTTAAAATGACCCAATTTTGAAAATGAGTCTGCTTGTATTACCTAATTTTGAGAGAGTTTGGTAGAAACTGGACAATCTGTTGTGTATTTTAGTGGCATTTAAAAATTTTGTTATGAGCAGAAAGAGGAAAATTGGAAATAAAAGTGCTGATGTACTGATTCTGTAAGTACATTAGCCTGTAGGTAAATAAATGTATGTTTTCCTGACTGAACTAGGGCTATACAAATGCATAACAGGCAGATGAGTTCATAGTATGAAGAACTAAAACTGTGTATTTAACAAATGGCCTTCTCTGGCCCCAACTCTTTGACCCCTTAGGTGAACTCTTTCCAGTCTCTTAGAAGATAATTTCTGTAGCTTACTGCCAAATGTTTTGGAAGATTGCACTATGGTCAAAGCATTATCAGTTTACTTCTTAACAACACAGTCGTACTATAAAAAAACAGTCTTTCAGAAATGGTTTGGTTTTTTGCTGAAGCACAAGCTAGTTGTTTATCTTGTGTGTAGCACAAGCTGGTTGTTTAGCTTGTGTGTAGGTATGATTTCCTTTTTTTTTTCCACTCTTCCATGAAAAAAGCAGGTCTTGATCATATTATTTTCCAGTGTGTGTGAAGTAAGTGTAACAAGGTAAGACAAAATATTTTTCATGCTGCCAATAACTCTCCTTTTGTAGGTGGTTAACAAAAAATTATCCTAAGAACCTAACATTAATGTAAACTATTGTTCACAGAAGTGGATTTATGAAGGAAAACTGGGTAGCTAGGTAACAAAATAGGTGGAATTGTAAAATACATTGAAAGTGAAATAGTAATGTCATATATAAAAATTGGTTTTTAAATAAATCTTTTAACTGTAGGAAAGTTATGAACAGCACTGTCTTTCTTGCAGACATTATTTCTTAAATTAATTGGAGTTAACTTACTGTATTTTGCTTACCTTTAGATTCAGATTCAGGTCAGTCACTATTGAGTGGTGAGGCAGGAGCTGCTTTCTGTGTAAATCCTTCTCTCAAGTTACTGAATTCCAGAGTTACTGAGCTCCAGAAACTTTCAGAAGTTCAGTATCTGTGATGGAGTTGTTTCTTGCTTGACTGTGAACAGAAAATAAATCTTGAAGGCTGAGAGCCTCTTTTTGAGGACTGTTTTAAAGGAAGAGGAGCTGAGTGCTGGGGTTAGGAGACTTGGGACAAATCCCTCACCATCAGTATGGCAAGTGCCAGGTTCACTATTTTCATCATCTGCCTTTCTACTACAACTGCAAGAAATCTATTGAAAATAGTCAGATTCCAGATAAAAGTCTTGCACTTGGCCTCTCTGCCTAGCAGGTATTATGGTATAAGAGTTGTTATTTAAATGCTGACAGCACATTTGTCTGACTTCTGATGAAAAAATTAAAGTGGAGGAGTCAAGTGGGTAAATGTAAAGAATTGTCTATTTGTTCAAGTGGGTAAATGTGAAGAATTGTCTGTTTGTGGGTTTGCAGTTGTTGAATGACAACTGTAAGAGGGTGTCATAAGCAACACCCCAAGCCTGTTGTAGTGGGTTGACCCTGTCTGGGTGCCAGATGCCCACCAAAGCCTCTCTCTCACTCCCCTTCACAGCTGGACAGGGGAGAAAAAATACAACAAAGGGTTCATGGGTTAAGATAAGGACTGAGAAAGATCACTCTCCAAATACCATCACAGGCAGAACAGACTCAAATTAAAAGTAATAACTGAATTTATTACTAACTAAATCAGAGCATGACAATGAGAAGTAAAATGAGACCTGAAAACACCTTCCCCCTACCCTTCCCTCCTTCCTAGCTCTACCTTCTCCCCTAGAGTGGTGCATCGAGATGGGAATGGGGGTTGTGGTCAATTCATCCCATATCCCTATCACTGCTCAGGGAGAGGAGTCCTTCCCCTGCTCCAGCATGGAGCCTCCCCCATGGGAGACAGTTCTCCGTGAACTTCTCCAGTGTGAGTCCATCCCACAGGCAACAGTTCTCCATGAGCTTCTGCAATGTAGGTCACTCTTCCATGGGGTGCAGTCCTTCTGCCACAGCCTGCTCCAGTGTGGCCTTCTCTCTCCATGGGCTCACAGCTTCCTCTCAGGCATCCACCTGCTCCAGCATGGGTCTCCTCCAGGGACTGCAGGTGGATCTCTGCAACCCCAGAGCCCTCCATGAGCTGCAGGGGCACAGCTGCCTCACCATGGTCTTACCACGGGCTGCAGGGGAACCTCAGCTCTGGTGTCTGGAGCACCTCCTGTCTTTCCTTCTGCACTGACTTGGGTGTCTGCAGGGCAGGTCCTCTCATGTTCTCACTCTGCTCTTCTCTGGTGGCAATTACAACTGCACAAACATTGGGTGTTTTTTTTCTTCTCCTTACATCTGTTATCACAGAGGTGTTACCACCATTTCTATTTGGTCCAGCCTTAGCCAGTGACACCTACATCTTTGAAGCCAGCGGAAATTGGCTCTGCTGGACACTGAGGAAGCTTCTCAAAGGCTCTCACAGAAGCCACCCTGTAGCCCCCCCCACCACCACCACCTTGGCCATGCAAATGAAATGCACTGATATTATATGGCAATTGATTTAGTGCCAGAATCTACACTGAATTTTCTGGATTTTTAACAGCATGTTTTGAAGCAGATTCCTTGTTTAAGTATTTTAGTCTTGGTCAGCATGTTGAGCTAGCCTTTCTGAGTTCCAGTAATGTGAGGGTGGGAAAACTGGGTGGCAGTGAAATCATGAAGCTACTTTTGTTACCAAAGACCCAGTTAAATATAATATGATTGTTTGTACTCAGTGAATATATTTGTTGACAAATTGAGCCATGCTCTGCGCCTTTGGCAGAATTCTGTTATAGCCACTGCGTGAAGTACTTTCCGTTTGCCATGCCTTTTCTCTTGACAGACTGTTCTCATGTGTCTGAAACTGAAAGAATACTGGATTAAAAGGATAATTTATTGTAATTGGTCTAACAATTTAATACAATAGTTATTTATAAAGTAAACATTTTTAATGGCTCCTCCCCAGCGCCAGTTATGGCTGAATTGCTTGGCTGTCACAGTTGAGCACTCTGAAGTACCTGGCGTCCAGTCCAGGACAGGATTGGATTTGCATGTGTTTGATATCATCCATAGTTGGCTTATGGAGCAAGGTAACAATAATATTTAAAATTTGCCTCTACCCATACAATGCTTTCTCTCATGTGATTGCTAGCGTCAAATGCAAGAGTGCTCCTCATGTTTCCATTAGTAAAGAAAGAGGATGCCCCCTACTTCTTGTTTTGTCAGCACCTTTATCAGCATGGAGTGCTGAAGTAAATATTGTAATATAAATACAGGATGCATGAAAATGGTCAGAGTCAAGGCAGTGACATTGAATTGGGAAATGCTGATGCTGGAGGATTATATTTCTAGAAAATGTGAACTTAGACTTGCAGAGGGAATATTTTCCAAACCTGAAATTGGTAGTGGTTTAAGATATTCAGAGACACAGGACAGAAGTACAACCAGGAAAACAAGTGGGAAGCAAAATGAGAATGGAGATGAAGTATATCAGTTGAACTCTAAGGGAGGCAGGCTTGTCTGTGTTGCATCTTGCAATGAAGGGTGAGTGTAGTGTCTAAAAATTCCTGTGAAATGGCAGTGAACAGGATGTACTTGTAGAAGTGGAAATAAGGGTGAAATTGTTTTTCTGGACTGTTAAGGGGAAGATAAATGAGAAGATGATAGTGGGGAGATCTGAGGAGAGCGATGCATTACCCATGAGGGAAGAACTGGCTCTCTCAACCTCAGCTGGCTTAGCTGGAGGAGATGCAGAAGGGCTGCCAGAGGAAGGGAGCTGGTTATCAAGGTGTGCTGCAGCCTCAAATAGTAAATAAGTACTACTAATAAAGGTGAACACAGTGTGAAGATTGTGCCGGGGTATTGAGAGAATTCATATGGTAAAGTGAGACACTGAGTAGGTATGAGAAAAACAACATCAATTGTGCTGGCATATTTAAAAGGTATTTTCTAGGGGAAATGAGGCAAGGGAAGGGCTGATGAGTGCTTGATTGTAGAGCAAAATTCAGTAGTCATATAAGAATACTTCTCTGAAAAGTTTTACATAAGGAGGAGGTACTGCACGCAAAGTGGATGTGCTGGATAATTTTTGTGAGTTAATAGTGCTACCATTGGTACTATGGCATTCCATGATTCTGGTGTGGAAACAGCTGATTCATCAGAGTGGGATTTGCATACTAATTATAACATGGCTAATTATTGTATTTAAAAGGAGTATGCTGACATATTGGTACCTTTTCTCCTTCCCACATACCTTAGAAATACTTAAGATTCCTTTTTTCAATAATAAATGTTGCAAAGCTGAACTTCCTCGTATATCAGCAGCTTGGACTTTAAGTGGAAATGGTGATAAAAAATAATTTAAGCATCTGTTGTTTATTCATATTTACCTCTTAACTGTAATGGTTAACCACAGCACGGTTTCTTGAGATAACACTTTATGGCACGGAAGCACCTGGTTTGTATGTAGAGATTGCAAAATCATATTGTTGTGCATAACAGCTCTGCTATAAATTAGACCCAAGGATAGTGGGATGTGGCCAGCTAATGCTTCCTGATCTGTATTTAACATATGGTGCTCTGTTAGTCTTTTCTATTTTCTTACCACTCTGCTTCCTGAAAGTCTTTCTCAAAAAACTTCATTAATCTTTTTTTTATTGATAAAACCCGTATTTCTGTTTTGGCTTGTTTTCTGCAGGCAGCATCATAAAAATCAAGTGAAAATGGCCTTTAGCAATCTGACATCAAAGGCTATACTACTGTATGATGAATGGATTAAAGATGCTGGTGAGTCATTTAAATCTAAAACTTACTAAGTCCCAATAATTTTGAATAGCAATGTTTAGCTATGCTAGGTGTGTTGTTTATCAGCTTAGAAGTAGCTTTGTCATCTTGTGAATATTTGTAAGATTTGCCAGGTTACCTATTAACATGGCACTCTAGTTTCTGCATTTTAAAACAGGAAATAAACAAAACTCAGGTAGTTTATGGAATTAAAGTCAGAGTAAATAAAGTGCAGACAGTGATTCTCCTGTTAGTGTCTCTGGTTGCCTGAATATATAGTTTGAGTTTTTCCTATGGTGCTGAATGTATAGTTTTAACTCTTTCATTACCAAACAATTGCATTTTATCAGTTAATTAATGCACATTAATTAACTGATAAAATGCAATTGTTACTGCATTTTGCTTTTGCAAAATGAAAAAAAAAGCCCAAGCCCTGATAAATTTCAGTATTTTGAAATTAATCCTCAGAGTAATTAACTCTGTCACAGTGGTAATTTGAAAAGGGATGAGCGTCTCTTGTTGCAGTTAGTAAGGGATATTAATCACACTTTGATTTTATGTTGCCACTCTCTTATTCTGTTTGCTTATCAAAAGCTGAGAGAAGACCTCGGTTTTGGGATTAAGACCCATGAGTCTCAGTGTTTCTCACTGTGGTAGACAGATAGTGACAAGGATTAGCTAATTCCTAGAAAAAAAATGAGAAGTGGTTAAGGTTTGATAGGCAAGATTAGATTTATCTTTTCTAGCATAGCTGAGCACCACTTTTCTTGTTCTTGTAAAAGCACAGCCTGCAAGTGAGCAGAGAGTTTAATTAGTATGACTCATGGGATGAGGTGGATTGGGATGGAGTGAGCATTTATGCTGCAGTGTCCATGACTCCAGAACCTGAGCTGTCTCCATGCCCATCAGTGCTTGTATGTGGCATTTGGTATCATAGTGTTAGCGGTGGAACATGGTTTTCTCAGGATTAGTTTGGGAAAAACAGCGGGAAAGGTTTGGTAGGAGCAGGGCAAGGGTGGATACAACAAAAAAAGTTGTGGAGCGGTGGTGGCTCTCCTGCAGCACACTCGAGCAGATTCCTCATGCTGTGGGTCACAGTCCTCCTTGGTCTGTGGGCAGCAGCACTGGCACATCACAAGCTGTGAGCAGCATTGTAATGTGCTCTCCTCCTCAATCTGATTTATACTTCCAGTGGCTGTTAACCACATCAGAAGGTCTCATGGGTGAAAGCTTGCTTGAATGCTGTGGGTTGAAAAATTGGCTGACTTGAAACATTTGGCTATGAATTAAACGCTTGAAAAAATAACACTAGTTTTACCCTTAAAATGCAGCAACAAACCATGAAAGCAACAGTTTACTGAGTCAGTAGTTAAGTTTGGGATAATTCTGAACCAAGTCTTCCAAAAGTCAGTGTAAAAAAAATTTAAAGAAAATAAAAATTACATGGGGTTTGTGTCAGTTCACCTGCTTATGGAGAAATGTGGCAGTCTTTGGTGATCTGGGACTCTGTAATGAACCACAAAAGGGTGCAGTGAAATCATGGTGATGCTCAGATGAAATACCTACCAGCCTCAAGTGCAGGAAGAGGGAGTGGGGTGTGCTTAGGAGGAGATGCCTCTGCAATACAGCTCTCTGGCACAACGGTGGAATAACTTGCAACATTTGCTTGTTGAATTATAACTTGTTGTATGAAAGTGTGTGCTTTGTCGTGCTGTAAAGACAGAAAATCATGTCAGCCGTGATTCTGTGTCTCCTTTTCATGATATCTGAAGAAAGAAGCGCTGAATCCTACATGGGTTAAATCATGTTATCCAGTCAGTATAGATTTGTATCAGTATCATCTGAAACATGATAAGTGACAGAAAAACCTAGACCATCAGGAATTAAATGCTTTTCTGTAATTGTTTTAGTAAGTACTGTAGACATCTGATTTTTTTTTTTTCCCTCCCTCTACCCCCTCTAGATCCAAGACTGGAAGGCTGGCCACTCATGTCTTCACCTTTTCCAACAACTTTTATCATTGGAACCTACGTTTATTTTGTCACTTCCTTGGGACCCAGACTCATGGAAAATAAAAAACCTTTTGAACTCAGGCAGATCATGACGTTTTATAATTTTAGCGTGGTAGCCCTCTCTTTATATATGACTTATGAAGTAAGTACTATGTTTGTAATGTATTTATATATTTCATGTCTTTAACAACTAATTTTTAATAATTCTATTAATATAACTCCTACACTGCAATTCTCAAAAAATGTTATTGTCATGGCAGTAATTATCATCTTCCCAGCTGTATGCTAAACTTGTAATTGTTGGAAAAAGAGAATAAGTCATACCCAGAAAGAGAGAACATGAAACATTTTGTGTTTTTATATATAATTTTAAAAGTTTAAAGTTTTCATCATTTAAATTCTCTGTACTGCAGCAGGAAAAGCAGACAATATGCTTTTCTTAGTATTTTGTAATTGTTTCTGTCCTACTAGGTAATAATGTGATAACATGCCCTTAAGGGGAAGGAACAACCACTGATGTTTCAAACACTGTATAGAGAGTGTCTACTATGAAATAATCTTCAGTTAGATCTGCCTTTTAAATGACAGAAATCAATGACAGAGGTTAACAAAATCTAATTCAAAGTATTTTTATTCTTTAAATGAACAAACAAAACCCCTCTGAATAAAAAACCTCCAACCTCTACCCCCTGCTTTTCCCCCTAAGCCAAATTTCTTAGTATCTTTAACATTGATTTTCTCCACACTGCCAAAATAGCAAATTCTCTTTTTTTTTCAAAAGCAATGTTGAGATTTTGCTGCTGTTGGGTTTTACTTGTTTGTTGGGATTTGGTGGGCTTTGGGAGGGTTTATTGAAGGGTAGGTATTGATGGTATTGTGTGAATGACAGCCTTACAGGTTTGCTTGGTGAAGCATCACTGTGCTAGTACTGACCACGTGTGTGACTCCCAGGCTATGTGGCTATTTCAGGCTTGGCAAACTAGTAATAAAAAGCTGTCAGATTATTGTGCCAAATTGGCAGGCTATGTTCCTGTTAGCTTAATTTGCATGACTCTTATCACGAGTTACCGTGAACTACCTGACATTTCTTCTAAGCTCTCTAAAGGCACTGCAGCAGCAGCTACTTTGTGTCATGACTGTTGTGTGGCAAGTGGTGGGCAAAATGAACACTTTTGCTATTTGGCCTTTTTAAAAAAAAAAATTGCTGAATTTCCTTTTGGAATTTGGTTCCAAGTTTGGTTTTGATTATAAACCTCAGAAAAAAAAAAAACAAAAAACCAAAAAAACCACCAAGAAACACACAAAGAAATAGTAAAAGAAAAAAATTAAATTTCTATTAGTGTCTGACATTGGCATGATATTCAATAAGCCTGCTGTCAAGACTTCCATGTTACAATTTCATGAAAGATTGCATGGACAGAGTGTAACCCATTGAATTTCTGCTATTGTCTGGTGGTTAGCAAGAAGCTGATTCTTTCCCTTTTTGGAACCAAGTCATTTGGTGGGTGTTTTAGTGCTGGTGTTCTAAAAGAAAACTGTTTTTTTCAAGCAATCAGTTATTTCAGGAAGTTAAAAGGACTAAAACCTGCTTAATTTGGGAGAGGTGAAGCTCTTGCCATGCATGAGTGGATGGTGATAATGAGAAGCATCATGAAGATATAAAATACAGATGTCATAGTGGCTGGCAGTAGACTAAGCCAACTATAATACTAATATTGTTGCTCTTGTCCAAACTTTAATATATTCCAAGAGAAAAGATTATATTATATTTGGTAAATATAGTCCTGTGGTCATGTGCTCTCTCAGTTGTTCTCATCACTCATGTGAGTGGAAAACTAATTGAACCATGAAGTTTAACTACACAGAATTTTAGAGACTACGGTATGAAATATACATCATGCATATTGATTGTTCCTTGTCTGTAATGATAATTAGCAATGGCTTTCTGTTGTGCTGGTTTTGTTATAGTATCAAGATGCTGTGTTGTATTTTTTTTTTGTATTAAGATATTTAGCTGTGGTAGCAATTTTAAAAATAATTATATTTGGTTTTGTGGTCTTACTTACACAGTAAGTTGTTATTTAACACTGGTTTTGAGATGCATCTCTTTCTTCTCTTCAGTTACTAAAGCTGAAATAATGGGTGTAGGAAGAAAATTCTTGTCTATGGGTGTGGTCCTGGAATTAGAAATTCATTAATCTGCAACAGCAAAGGATTTTTGTGGTAGCTATCCCACACACAGGTAGATGATTGACAAAGTTGCTGATTTAAGGTGTTTTTAATATTGTTTTTCCCCTCCTGCTTAGTGATTGCAAAAGTAATCCAAAATTAATGAATTTTTCAAAAGACGTAAAGTTAATCTTTGCCCTTATTTTCCTCCAGTTTCTTATGTCAGGCTGGGCCACAGGATACTCGTTCCGGTGCGATATTGTTGACTACTCGAGGTCACCGACAGCTCTAAGAGTAAGTTGCCAAAGACAAAGGTGAATTGTTATCACAAAACAATAGAATGGTTTGGGGTGGAAGTGACCTTGTGAGATCATCTAGTTCCAACGCCCCTGATATGAGCAAGGACAACTTCTACTAGACCAGGTTGTTCAAAGTAGTGTGTTATACATATACTTTATTTTTAGAAATGCTTTTTGAACAACCTGCTTTTTGAATGCACTGTTGTAGAGTGGAATGCTCTAAATAGAAAATAACCTCTTGTGTAATGTAGAGCATGTGAGTTAACTGGAGGGTTGGTTGGTTGGTTGGGAGAAAGAAAGAGACAAGGAATGCATTGGCTTGTTTTTGTTTTTGTTGGTTTTAAAATTCCTTTAAGTTTAAAAAATGTTTTATGTTTTTAAAGAAAAAACAATCAAATTATACATTTAAATATTTCTGTCAACCTTGTAACATCACTTGGCCCAATACTTTCCTTTATATAGATACCCATTTGTTCTGCTATGACTTTTATGGTTTGACAATTTGATTTTTATTCTTGCAGATGGTGCGAACTTGTTGGCTTTACTTCTTTTCCAAGTTCATTGAATTATTAGACACTGTAAGTATTTGTAGCCTAATAAAAGCCTAAAAATTTCCTTTTCACAGCAGAAGAACTGGTGCTGTTCAGGGCTGAGGATATAAGTTGTTTTTTATTTAATCCTCCAATCTTCAATTATTAGAATATCATCATAGTGTTTACCCCTATTATCTCGTTCTATCTCATTGCCTTTTTACACTGCTCTACCTTCATCTTCAGGAAAAATGTTAATGAGGAAACAACACACCTTTAAATATTTAGGAAGACTGGATAACTTGTCTAACAGCTGAGTACACTAATCTGTTATGCTATATCAATGCTTGTCTCAACACTGCAGATAAAAAACAGTTGATCATGCTGAATATTTTTTTTCATATCATCTTCAGATTTTGTCTTCCCCATTCATATCATCAGCAGCTCTGAATGCAGGACAAAATTGCCATAACTACTTGCTCTAAATTCTGGAGATTGTCTTGAGTGTTGTGGCTATAGAGGTGTTTGATGTCAGGCTGGCACTCTAACCTGTTTCAAGCGAAGTCTGAGCAGTAATGCTTTCAAGCCGAACGCAGACCTCACTCACCACCAGCAGCCATTTCCCCACGACTGGCACCAGATAGGACTGACTGAAAATACCAGCTTCTGAGTGTTGGAATTAGCTGCAGTTTTTGCCCTATTGTTTGGGACAAAATAGTAGTGGTTCAGGAGCTGACTCATGAGCAGTGAGGATGTTCTACATCCTCTGGGCAAAGCTGGCTGTCTGACTTTTCATCTGCAAATGTTCATGATTCAACACTAGGAGATCTTACTGACTAAACCAAATGGAATGGTAATGGAAGTGTCAGGAATGCTAAAACTGGAAAATCCTGACAAGTATATTCCTCTATTTGGCTTTATTCCCCACAGGTTGTAGTGCTCCTTTTTAATTAGTCCTGAGCCTGGTTTTTAAAAAAAATTGTTTTGTTTGAATACAGGTACTAGGTACTTGTTTCTCATCAGCTTTTTTGTTTTATTGTAAAAGTAATTTCTTAGCTGTATTTAAATCAGCTGATTCCAAAAGTTTTCTCTGGCACACCAGACTTCTTTTCTTCTGTGTTTGTTTTCTTGCCATCTGATACTACCCTTTCCATGACCTGACTTCTTACATTTTTTTTTTTTTTCTGGCTTCCCTTAACATTTCCCTTGATGCCTGTCCTTTAAAATGAGGCCTGTCAATATCATTTAAGAATACCTGCATATATTCTGTACAATTTTAATATTTTCCAGTGGTAGCTAAGTCAGAGTTCATAATAAAGTGTTTTTTCCCTAACATAGTTTTTTCTACTGCTAGTCCTTCAGGTAATTTTCTCAAATGGCCTTTCATTAATAGTTCAAGGGAGTTAAAATCTGATGCTTGTAAAGATTTCTCAGTCCAAGCAAGTCCATCTTAAACTGTTTGTTGCACATGTAGGTGATGGCTTGACCTTTGACATTTGGTTTCTAAGCTTGCCTTGGCTTTTGAGATGTCACAGGTGGATTTTACTTATTGGTTTTAAGTTTTTTTGAAAACTAGTTTGCATAGCCAGCCAGTCACTTAGTTTTCCTTCCTCTCCCAACACTGTAACTGTGAAGAACTTTTAAATGCATAGTAATAAGCAACCAGCACTGATGTGTACATCTTTCTTTAAATATGTTGGACTTGATTATCTTCTGTAACATTCTGTTCATTAAAAATCTGTTTCAGATATTTTTTGTGCTGCGTAAGAAAAACAACCAAGTTACGTTCCTGCATGTCTTTCATCATTCCATCATGCCGTGGACCTGGTGGTTTGGAGTCAAATTTGCTGCAGGTATGGAGAGAGAGTGGAGTTTAGGTTGAACATATCTTCTGGTAGTGAAAGTTACCTATGGTAGATGAAAGAAAGAAAGAGAATTAAACACCTTGGAAGCATCAGTGTTCTTAAATTTAGACTTCTGCAGTATTTTTTGGAACAACTGAGATCACCATAATTATTTAAATGGGTGTGTATTATTCATTTTTTCCTATTTGACAGCATTTTTTTCAGTGTTGATTTCTTATGGGGAGAAGAGGTTCAGAGAAAAAAGTTGGGTCAAAGCAAAAAACATTAAATGAGAAAGAGAAGTCATTGAAAAATCGTAAGTGCTAGGGGAGATACACACCCTACAATGTTAGAAAGGAGTTCGAGGGGAGGACTACGTTCAATTTTTTTCCTGTTTGAGAAATTATTCAGTCTGTGTTGCAGTTATTCAGTCTTTGTTGCAGTTTGTTTTACTGGCTTTAGATAGCATGTGTGGGATTTATATACCTTTGATACTTCAGCTTTCACGAAACTACAGAAATATTTTTCTGGACCTTCTTTATTAAAGAAACATATTTGAATTGTTTTGAACTTAAATTCTTTGACCACTATGAGCTTACCTTCACATTTTCCTTTCCTGCTCATGTGTCTTTGCATGCATTTTCCTATGCCACTTTACCAGTGTGCAGCACTAATAAATACAACTTGCCATGAGAATAGTCTGAAAAGCACAGAGTGGAGAAATGCACAGGCATTTATTAATCCATTTCTGGGACAGCTTAGGCCTTTTTAGGAGTTTCTACTGAGAAATAGTGGGGTTTCATACATGTTTACCTAGAAATATGTTCTTTATTTCTTTTTTTGTCCCAGAAAATTGGTGATGAATTGATGAAGCGGTTGTTCCATTGCTTTTCAGTCTGATGTGTTAGTGTCTATTTTATGTCTGGTTTTTTCCTGGAGCGGTCCAGAAAGCACTCCAGAAAATTTGTACATCTTTTGAACCTTTCCAGTGTGCAGCTTTTCCTTGTGTATAAATGGATATACCTCTGTTGTATTTGTTGAGTTTCTGTTATTAGGAAAGTGCTGGATTGATTATGTGTGTCTCAAATCTTGCTGAGTGACTGGCATTAAGTTAATAATAAAACTGTGAATGGTTGTCTCAGCATACACCCCAGTGTGTTTATAGGTCTGCAAAGGGAAACCTGCAGCAAATAACAGTCCCTCCTCTTCAACCTTGAAAATTTTCCACTTATAGGTGATTAGCTTTCTCCTTTTTATCTGGATGTTGGATCAGTATACCAGCTACAGGCTTCTGATTTTGAATCAGATTCAAATTTCCCATGTGATAATTTGACAAATGCTTTCAGCAAAGTGTGTAAGAATTGTTTTGTCCTCTGCTAGTAATGGTCCCTCATATTTATGCAGAGCTGTGTGTATTCCAAAAACCCTATTGCTTATCTTTACATTTATCTTTCCAAATGCTGTTGTTTGATAAGTTTAATTTTTTTTCCAAGAATTACATTCCTGCTGATGTTTATCTTGTATTCAGTTTCATCATGCTTGTCCTTCTAAACAGCAGCATCTGTAAAGTTTGCAACCTGTTTGTAAAAAAACCATCAGTTATGGATGGGGATGCTGTTTTTTCTCTGATCTGATATAAATAGAGAATTATAAAATTATGCTTAGTGCTATTTTTTGGAGCATATTTTTGTAATTTTGTGTAGGTTCCTTTTTTCTCTGCTTTAGCTATTTATTTTTTCTTCTGCATATTCACTGCACATGCCAATAAAAGTATGTATATTTGAACTGTAAGAACGTTCAAATTATTTTTAAAAATACAAATAGCTAAGTTTCAAAGAAAGTTTGCAATCACAGCTGGAGGAGTCATGCCTTCTCAAGCTGGAAGATTAGTGTGAGCTACTAAAAACACAAAATATGTTTTATTTTTAATTGGAATGATTCTAAATGGGAAAATAGCACTCTTTTTCTCACTAAATGTCTCCTTTTATGTCATCTTGTTTTCTTTTTGATGATCATTGTTTTCATGTCCATGTTTCTTTTAAAAATACTTTGCTGTCTGCTGCTTCTTGGATCACTTTTACCTCTAATTTCTTGCATTCATTAAAATAAAGCTACTTTGAGCAGGATCTTGTAGCTTCATGGTCAATCCAATGAAAAAGTAAGTATTTCCTTACTTGAAATGCTCATGTGTTAACAGTTTGTCACAAATTTATCCCAAAATGGGCCCTACTTAAGTTTCCCTTTCACTGGAAGTGTGTTTTGAGATTGACAATGTATCTGTGAGACACTTGTCCACGATTATGAAAACTTACTGGCTGAAACTGTATTTCATTCCCTGTGAATCTACAAATCTGTATTGAGAAGAGACTTACTACTTATCCTCTACAACTTTTTGAAGTTCATCATGATGTCTAGAAAGGAGACAAAAACCAGGAGGAATTCTTTCTACCAACTTTTCTGTGTCTCTATCAAAATATAGGTTTTAATAAAAAATTTAAAAATGGACCCAAAGAACAAAAAATTCCACTAAAATGTTTTTATATGTAATTAGATCAGCTGGGTTTTACTGCTGTTTTGGGAATGCTTAAATAACCTTTTCTGAGACAAAAAACTGATGTGATCCATAAGAACTGGTATCAACCCAATTCAGGTAAAATACCTTGAAGATTAGTCAAAGTCTAGGTTTTGTGGTATGTTTTTCATACCCTGGCTCAAGACAATCTGCTAGGACCTCAGTGGCTTTTTCAATACCTCCTATAATACTGCTACTATGTTTTGTTTTTCTCCAGGTGGTTTAGGAACATTTCATGCTTTGCTGAACTGTATTGTGCATGTTGTCATGTACACTTACTACGGAATCTGTTCTTTGGGACCAGCCTATCATAAATATTTGTGGTGGAAAAAGTACATGACAACTATACAACTTGTGAGTAACTGTCTTTGACATAAGGACCTCTCAAAAACCTGATTCCAGCTAACATGAATTAAAAACAATAAATCTGTCCTTTCACTTATGCCCAAGTGTGGAGCTTACAGTTGGTATAAGATTTACTAATGTTTTAATTGAGGATAACAAAAGGTTTGAGCTCTCTACAGTAATATACTTATATCTGCTGATGTCAGCATTCACTGTAATCACAGATTTAGACAAAAAGGCTTTTCAGGTATGCAGTACTTGACAAATATATTTACAAGACTCAATACTTGTGTAAAAATTATTAAAATATAAATTTACACCAAGAACATATAATTAATATACAGAATACACATCTAACTAGTAACTACATGTAACATGTAGTAAGGAAAGGGAAAATGTATGTCTTTAGAACTTGATGTTCTTTCATAGAAAATGTTTGTGTTTGGAAAATTTACTTCTGTTTAATGCTCTCTCCAGAGCACTAAAACCCACTCTTGCAGTGTGGGTATATTAAGTGTTTTATCTGCTTTAGGTCACTTTCAAAAGGTTGCTCTTCGGAGTGCTTTTTCATGCCCGCTTCATTTAATAGGTGGATTTTCAGTATTCAGTTGCTGGCTAAGCAATTGGCTTAGAATGAGCAAAGATAAGGAGGAGGTAAAGGAGCAGCCTGTCTGCTTGCACCAGGGCTGGTTTTGGTAGAATAGTTCATGTAACCATGTGCAACTCTGAACAATGTAGCCTGAATATTTATAACTTGGTCTTTTTGACCTAGAGGCACTACTAGTGGACTTTTAACTTAGAGTTCATGTGGAGTGTATTTTTTCACATCCTAGTGTGTAGGGAAGGTGGGTTCCCCTCAAACTCTTGAAACATTCCCATTTTTTCAGGTCTCATGTTTATTTCCTGCCCTCCTCCCCCCAGCTAATTTTTCTAAAGGAGCCTCCCATTTGTCACTGGACAAACACTGTCTGCCTCCTTCCTTTTTATCTGAACTGCCCAGGGTAGAATCCTATTCTACTACTGTGAGTTTTTTAGTTTGTCCCAGGACTTCTCTTCCTTTTTATGTAAACCTGTTTTTCAGTGGAATAATATTTTGGGGAGATGGACTACAAAGGTGCATCTGTGTCATATTAGGAACTTGTATGGTTGTCCCTGTTCCTCCCTGCTTTCCACCCACTCCACCCCTACTATCTGTTTTTCAGCAAACAAGCTATGCTGAAATTTTTTAAACTTGTGTAGTAAGATTGTAATTTATTTTAAAAGTACTTATTTTCTTCATCTTTTCCCTCCAGGTCCAGTTTATTATGATAACAGTCCATATAGGACAAATCTACATCATGGATGATTGTCCATACCAGTATCCAATTTTCATGTTTATTATCTGGCTTTACGGCTCCATGTTTTTAGTCTTGTTTCTCCACTTCTGGTACCATGCTTACACGAAGGGACAAAGACTGCCAAAAATGGCAAGAAATGGCATCAGCAAAGATCAGTGAAACAAATTCTTGTCATTAAAACCAAAGAAGTGTATATGTCAAAGGGGAAACTTGCACTACTTGACAATCAAGATGTTTAGGTGCGCACACTACATGGTGTATATTTTGTATGTTTTCTTCCAAAACAGAATTTGTATTTTTACCGTAAGTTATTTGGGATTCAGAACATGGGAGTGGGGAAGAACTGCGGATCTCTGATTAAAAAAGAATGAGATCTCTGTCTAGAAAATGCACAAAAATAAAGATAATTGGAAAAACTACAATGTGTATGACAAGTACTGAGTACTTTGAACACACTTTGAGGGGGATAAAAAATACTTCACTTTAAATGTTGTAAGTTGCTAAGACTGTCAGCTGCATTTTATTATAAGAATGATTCTTCAGTAAGTACTGTTTATAGAATCTAAGGCATATTAAAATAGTTAATGCATAAACATTGTTACATCTGTTTATAAACTGTATTACTTTAAAGGAAGGATTGTATGTTTATCTGTCAAGACATAGCGTTTCATCTGAAGATCACAGAGTTTTGCATATACTGTCTTTTACTAGGAGAACTGAATTCATTTCATGTTCTACTCAGTTGAACATTATCGTAAATGTTGGAAAGCTACTAATATGGGGATTATCTGAATTGTCTTGTAGCATTGTGATCAAAACATCTTATTGATTTGTTCACTGCAGTAGCCAAATATTATTCAGTGTGTCTATGGATATACTTTAAATTGCTAGCCTGTGCTGTTTGTGAAGTGGGGCTAGGAGGATTATGGAATCTTTTAATTCAATAGCCAAAATCTTAGTAGTCAAATAAAATGTAAAAAAATTTTGATTTAATGATTTAAGCTGAAATGTTGCCTACCATGATTGTACTGTGCTCTACTTTCTTCCATTTCCATTATCTATTGAAATACATGTCTAGAAAAAGTTTGTGTCATCTTGTTTTTTTTTTATTATTGTGGCTTGTTTTTATCAGCTCAAGGTTAAAGTTACTCCAGTTACCTTGTCTGGAACCAGGCACAAAAATACGTGACATTCTCTGAGCTTCTGAAAGTGGGGCAGGCAGTGGTGACTGGGCATGGCTCCATTCTGTGTAGAATTACCCAGTATGTTGTTTTCCAAGGTTAGACAGATTGTTAGGGTCATATTTGTGTAGAAATCAAAGGAACTTTCTATTTGTAAGTTGCGTTTGTACTGGATGGATTTATTAAGTCTCGTGGATCTTCTCCTGGTGGGGAGCCCACCCAGGGACACCAGTTCTCAGGATTTCCTCTGGTCTGGTCTGGTTGGGAAGATCCCGAGGTGTCTCTGTTAAAAGTCTCTCTGCCCCAACCCAGCAGCTGAAGAAGGAGTCGAGAAGTCTTCGGTTCACGTTCTCAGGGTTGTTTATTATTTCTTTATCGCAAACATTTTCTGTCTGGCCTGCCAAGGTCTGTTCTGCAAGTCAGTCTGAGGCACTCTCCCCACCTCTCGGGCTGGTGCTATCTTTTGTACTAAAAACTACATATACTATGTTTACAATAATGTTCCAATACATATCACTTATGTTAGACAGTGACTTTCTACTCTAAACAAATCTGTGAATGCCAACATCATCCTGAACATGGATGCCAGGGAGAAGAGAGAAGGACAGGGCACACCCAAGTCCCTCCATCTTGGAACCCTTGACCCCCATGTACAGAATTCCAAACTCGCCTCTACCATTCTCCAAAATTTCTCCCTTCACCCTGTGATTGCTACTACTATGCTACTTAAACTTTTGTGACTTGTAATTCTTCATATAAGGTTCGCAATTTGCTCCGTGGGTTGAGATAAAATTCCCAGGTGTCTTTGGCTTCCTGCCAGGGTCTCCGAACCCCTGCCAGGGCTTTGAGCCATCCAGAGAACCCAGAGTCCTGGGTTCCGACATCTAAGGAATTGGTGCATGCAACAGACCTGGAAATGGGGAATTAAATGTATTCAGATTAATGTTACCATTAAAGGTACTGTTTTCTACAACACTAGAAAAAAGAAACTTGCAATATTTACTTTTTATATGATCTGATCTGTAGGATTTTCAAATACTCAAGACTTTGAGGCAGATTTTAATAGCCTTCCTGTTGCATAATTCCAAGAGCATAAGTTTTGTTACCTAAACACTTTTATTTTACTAACATTTATGCAGTAAACGCTAAAGGAATGTAAACTTTAGGTTGGACATAAGTTGCAAATGTTTTCTTTTGATATTACCTCAAGTTTTTTAAAGCAAATAAAAAATAACTTATATTTTATCTATTCACTATTTAATTCCTGTAGCTGTCAGCTGTCATGGCAGCTTGAAAGTAGATCTCAGAAAGTACTGAGATGATTTGAGATTTAAATTGCAGCACCTGAATTTTAGATGCTTGATCTTCAAATCATCAGTGTTCAGCTCCCAGCAGTACACATGGAGAGGTGCTCTATCACATGATCCTAAACAGCTGCAGTGCTGATCAGGGACCACACCTCTTTTTGGTGGGAAATGCAGTCCATCACTGATTCAGTCTCAAGTCCAGCCAGCTCTGGCCTGTATGTATGTCCCCGGCCTTCAGTGTTAGGAGGGCTTTCCTTAAGAACAGAGACCTATTGCTGTTTTTTCAAATAGCAGGAAAGTATTTGCCAGTTTTAGAGTTTTTTTTTTTTTTTTTTTTTTTTAATTTTTTAAATGCATATATATATATAAATAAATATTTATTAAATAAGTAATGATGAAAGAAGTGGGACAATTTGATTCTTTTAGGCCTTCTTGAGCCTGTGCATTCAAATGTGTTTGGGAAATGCAGGCCTTATGAGGGAAAGGCTGTAATAGCTAGTCTGTAGTGAAAACTGGATAATAGTACCGTCTGCTTCTTGTGCAAGGATGCAGGCATTACTCTGTAGCCTTGCAGATGATTTCTATACTGGTGGGGGAAGTCCTAGTTCTGGTTTCTGATTTTGCAATCATACCTCCTTCCCTGCCCATAAACGTGGATGGAGAAATGCATCCTGCAGCTGGGTGTGAAGGGACAGGTACTTGTTTGTTGATTTGGGAGCTAGATCTGCAACAGATTTTTCAAACTTACTTGGGCTTAACTAGGAGCTGAGACTATGCACAATCAAAACTAAGGAGTGCTGCATGTGGACAGGTGCTGAACAGAAGGGAGCCAGGAAAGCTTCCAATTCCAGCAGCTGCACAGTAGCCAAAGGCTTCCAGGGTCAGTTGTTTGAGATTAAGAACTAATAAGCAGGGGCAGAAACTGGAGACGGTAATCATTCTGGGGGCTGCCAGCAAGTGCTGTGTCAGATTGCCACTGCATAATATCTTGCACAGTGGTTTAGTCTTCTGGGAGTTACAAAGCATTTGGAGAAAGCGAATGCAGTGTTTCACAGTGAATTGTAAGGATGCAGCCTAAAAGGATGCATATAGTGTAACTGTGCCAATGACATCAGCTCAAAACAAATCCTGTCCTCCCACACACAGTGAGAGAATCACACAATCTTTATCTGAACCTAAAAACTGTGCATCTCACTTACTTAAGTGTATACTTTTGAGTAAGGCTAGAAAGAGGAGTCCAACGGTCAGTCATCTGTGTTATGGTGAATGTTTACTGACAGTGAGGGGAATAAGGCTAAAATTTTGTTTTCCTTAGACCTAGTGGGTAAGAAACACTGGTGTTACCAGCCACTCCTCTCCTGTCCTAAAAATTGACAGAGATAGCTCATCTGTAATAGGTACCACAGGAGTTTCAGTTACACCCCTGCAGGATAGGTGACTTGTTACCAAAATCTCCTACCTTAAAATGGTGGTTTCCTATTTACTTTCTAAATCACCCTTTCTTTAAAATACTCATAAAGAGTTAATAAACAACAACTCAATGAGTTCTGTGGCACCAGCATCAACCCCTGTCTTCTGTAGAAATAATATCAAATGTAATTGCAAGTAGTTATCATCCCACACACTGCCTGAATTCAAAACAAAATTCCATAATAAATAAAAAAAAAAAAAACAACAACAAAAAACAAACAAAAAACAACTGATTGGAAGCAATTTATAAATATTGAAAATTGAGTGTTTGGAGGGGTTTTTTTCAGTTGTTTTTTGTTTTGTTGGCTCAGTTAATGCCAAGGCTCTATTCTCTTTGTCAGGGCAGCAATACACTGGCCAGCTTTCCTGACATGGTTTAACTTGTTGCTACACACAGAGTGGCCAAACGGGCCAGGTTGGAGGGAACTACAGCAGGTCACCTGATCCAGCCTACCTACTCGAGCAGGGCCATCCCAGAGCACAGCACTGGCACAGGACTGAGCCCAGATGGTTCTGGAACCTCTCCATGAGGGAGGCTCCAGAACGTCTCTGGGAAATCTGTTCCAGCGCACAGTACCCACACAGCAAACAAGTTCCTCCTCATGTTCATGGGGAACTCCCAGTGCATCGCTTTTCTGGCCGTTGTCTCTCATCCTACTGCTGGGCACCACGGCGCAGAGCCCCGTGGGACACACCGCCACTGAGCCCCCCCGAGCTCGGCTCCCGCCCGGCGCCCTGCCGCCCCCGCCCCGCCAATCAAGCACGGCGCGGGCCCATCACGTGCCGCGTCCGCCACCCAATGGGCAAAGGGCGGCGGCGCCCGGCCGGATTCAAACGCGGCGCGGAGCCGGCGCGGCGGCGCTCATGGAGCCGCGGCTGGTGGGGCCCGGGCCGTACCGCGCCACCCGCCTGGTGAGTGCCCCCCGCCATCCCGGACACCGCCGCCCTCCCGTGCCTCTGCTCCGGGCGGCCCTCCGTTCTCCTGGTGCCGGCCGGTGCTCACAGGCCGCGTCTCTGCGGGGCAGAGCCCGCCCGCCCGGGCTGAGCGACAGGTTGAGCCTTTTGTCCCGGTAAAACCCAAGGGAGGCTAGAGCAGTATCCGTAGGTCCGCAGGTAGTATGAGGCTCTAAATATTTCAGTCTCCTAAACCTGGTGTTTGTTCTCGGGTCTCGACAGTTTGAATCCTGGGCTTAGTTTTCGGAGCTCCTGTGAACGCAGGCGGTGAGAAAAGGGTGTAGTTCTGCTTACAGAGCTGGCCGCGCTCTGTCCGCAGGAAAACCTGGGAGAAGAGCTCCCGTAACGATTTGCTTTGTTCTTTCCCAGTGGAACGAGATAATCGAGCTCTTCCGTGCTGGGATGCCCTTACGGAAGCATCGCTGTCGTTTCAAGAGCTACGAGCGATGCTTCAAAGCCTCGGAGGCAGTGGAATGTTTACATGAGCTACTTGGCTCTAACCAAAACTTTGGCCCAGAAGTGACACGCGATCAAACGGTTAAGCTGCTTAAAAAATTCCTGAAAAATCATGTAATCGAAGACATTAAAGGAAGGTGGGGCAAAGAGGACTTTGAAGACGATGGCCATTTATATCGGTAAGCCTGTATAAGGTGAAAAAAAAAAACCTGGCTTTTTGGAAACAGGGTATAATAATTCTTGCTTATGTCTTACAAGTGTTTTTGTAGAACGCCTCTGAAAAGTGTTGCTGTGTTTTCCCCTTTTCCTTTTAAGGACTTCAATTTTCTTAGTAACGGGTAGCTGCCACGACTTACTATTTGACTTCAGTTCTCTTCTCGGTTTTGAAATATTTTTGAAAGTCACTTCTATTCAGTCGCATTCTTTAGATATCAACAAAAGCTTTTGCAGCTTTCACATGGTATCGAGTTCTCATTGCTGATGGCAGACATCAGGTTTTTTGGTGCTGGAAGAGTACATATTAAGCCACACAGGTGGAAGTGAGAATTCCATTGGTCATACAGCTCCAATTGTCTTCCTTCACCCCGACCCCTTGACTCTTGGTTGCTGTCCACTTCTTATGAGAGAAGACAAGAGAATGGCCTTCTGAATCGAATATATTTATGATGTAATATTTTTTTATGCACCTTGGTTTGTAGATGGGCAAGGGATAAAGCTTTATTTGTTTATCCTCAAGGATGGTTGCTTACTTATCCCTGTTGAGCATCTCAGCTGATGGTTTGTTAACAGAGGAGAAGAAACTTCTTTGTAATAAGAGCTTAGGATTACTGGGCTGGAATCTGTGACCTCTTGTGACCTCAGTTAAGGTTTGAGAGGACAGAAGTTTCAGGTTCTGAATTTGTACCATCTTTTGTGTCCTGTTTGGTGCAGAAGTATTATAAAGATGACCATTACTTCAAGTTCTAGATTTGTAACTTTTATCATTGTTAGTCTTCTTCTAAGGAAAAGGGAGTTCTCATCATGCAAAACATAAGGGAAAATAGGCTAGCAATAAGTTTATTCTTCTACTTATTATAGCTATTATTATATACTCAAAATTTACATATTCATTTTTAAGTAATGTTTTCTTAATATTTTCTTTGGGGAAATAGATGGTACTGAATTCCCACTTGATATATATTAAGTCAATTTTTTATTTTGCTCTATTGATCTTTTTATTTCTGGGCATTAATTCTTGTCAAAAGATTTAATATGGGATTTGATAACTGCTGGTGTTATTCTATATTTCTTTGGCTTGATTTTGTCGTGTTTGTGTGGCTGTGGGATTTTTTGTTTATTTTGCATTAGCATGAGTGTATATTCAAATTATTTTGTTCTTTCATTTATTTGTATTTTCAGTCATGACTTCACTGAGCTGCAGGATATGGAAGTTGGCTGGGTTAAATATTTCTGTTCTTCTAATTTTCTGTGTGCTCGGCCTACTGATCTGCTATTGGATAATGGAACTCTTGTTATATATTTCATTGTGATGTTCTTTTCCCCTGTCACTGACAAAATAACTAAGTCAGTAACTGATTTTTTTTTTCAGTTAAACACGCATACCTTTCATATATCTTGAACTGGAGCCGGCTTTTTTCCGCACTGGGCTTGGTGCTTGGTGCGTAAATAAGCTATATACATTACTCACGGATTTAAGTATCAAAACATGCTCCTCTCCTATTTAAGTAGCTAAACGTTCTTTTTCCAGCCTATTTTAGTCATGTATTCAATGTCCTGGCAGCTCCCTCTGGTGGGCTATCCCAATGCTACATGTAAAATACGTTTTTTTTTCTCCTCACAGTGCTGATGGAGGTAGTGGTACGCGTCAATTGTACTGACATTGCTTACTTTAGAAATACTTTCAAGCTTCATATCTTCTGCATAAATTTATGTATTAACATGCTATAAAGGCATGCTGTGGTACAGAGTTGTGTCACTCATTTACTTCACATGTAAATGTAGCTGTGTGCTCTTGTTCATCCACAGAGTATGCAAAAGAAATATTGCCAAGAGTTGGATTGCGTGAGAATATTTGGCAAGTATTAAATGTGAAGATGAGCTCTAATGTGATGTCTAAAAATAGCAAAGACTTATCAGTGTGTCCTGACTCACCGGCTCAGTTGAGTCCACAATAATGAATGAGAAGTTGCAGTTTGGGAAGCTTTTGGGTTCTATATATATTTTTTTTTCTGAATCTAAGCCATTCTATCAAAAGCAAAAGGGTTAGCACTCTTGCAATGATAACAATCTTTTGGGAATTCAGCAGTAATATTGTTATATCATGGACACCACTCTTAGTTGACCTTATTCTTGATACAAACAGGTATCTCTAGTTCCTCTTTTTACAAACTCCCCAGACTAGTCTTGCTGCCTATAATCAATTCTGATCTTGATGTGTCAGCCTTGGAGTGCTTCTCTGTCCTTTGCTTTGAGTGACATTAATCCTTCTCCATCTAGATCTTGCTGTAATGTTACCTGAGAAAGGGGAATGCACCTCCTTTTTCTGCCTGTAAGAACTTAGACTTTTACTGATTGGTTGCAAATCAGGGCAGCAAATGACACAAAGCTAAAAATTGTGAAGGACTGGAGAAGAAACAGGAAACTACTAAGAATAGCGTAAGGCAAAGGAAAAGGGCTGCAGATATATGGGTATGTTCTGTTTTAACATTAAACTCTTAAGAAATAATGAATATCTGAAAAATGGTTGAGAACACTCAACAGCTGAACATCTGCCGTGTAGTCTGGCTTAGCATTAAAAAACAGAGTAAATCTTGCAGGATTAGAATGAGGTGCTTGCTGCTGGTTCTGGGGGTTTGTCTGACAGACCTGATATCTGTGCTACAGATGTGCTGTTGTGAACAGCACTGTGGAATATGCTCAGTGTGTGTGGTCAAAACAATCAATGTGTTTAACCATTCAGTGTAACAGTACTGGACTAACCAAATTGCAGAACAAATCTAAATGAAAAACTTATTAAATGCTTGAAGTGCCTTTACAGGACGGGATGACATTTTGGAGAAACTTGAGGATTTCTCAAGCATTTTTTCTGGTAGGATACATATGCATGCTCTCCAGCAGCGTACAAGCTCTTGTTGCAAAGTCACGGACATATCTGTCTTTTACATCTGATTTAGAAGAGTTAATGAGGCTTAAGCAGTTTCTTAAAGCATCAGGAATCTCAGCATTTAAAACCTGAATGTGAAAGTAGACAGGGTTGGATCTGGTCCAGTCTGAAGAGGTGTTTCCATCAAACTGATTTGTCTTTCTGGTATGCTGTCATTAGTTCCTTTGTACATGCTCTGACCTAAGCTTAGCAATAATTTGATGCTGGTCAAGCTGGATAGTTTGTTTTCCTTCTTTTCTACAAGGGCTGGTTTAGGGCTTATTTCTACTAATTTCTTCAAGGCACTTCTTGAAATGCCTTAAGAAGTCAAATAGTTACCTGCAAAACCAACTGGAAAAAAGAACTGCAGGATATGATCCAGAAAAGAACTGCAGGATATGATCTTCGCACAGAAAGCATGTAAACTCACAAGAACCTGGTAATGTGGGCAAAACTTTGTGTGGACACTTGCATGCACTCTAACTAAAGCTGTTAGTCAAGACTTAGCTATGTAGCTTTGCTTTAGGAAATGCATGCTAACAAAGCACTTGACATGGGGGAAGACATCCCCACGGCTTTTTCAGCAGAATCAACATCTAGAGAAGACCTATGTCACTGTCTATGCAAAGACAGCTAGTGCTGTATGAGATGCACTGGGATATCAGACATTCACCCAAGGCTCAGCTGTCATGGGAGGTACAAAGGACCTTAACTGTTCCGGAACAGCAGCTGGAGGGCAAGCAAGACACTCCACGATGTTTTACATATCATGCAACACCAGTCTACAGCAAACTAAGCTCGGCTGTGAATGTCCAAAGCATTTGTTGTATTTTTGCATGTGAAGGCTGACTACAGTTTTGCATTGGTAAATAGGGATTAGATTGGCATTCAGAGACTTTAAAAATGTTCTCTAATTGTAGATTTCCTCCTTCCTCACCACTGAAGTCATATCCAAAGAAACCTTCATGTGGAAAGGAAGTAATTAAATTTCCAGACTGGAGTGAACCAAGGGCTGGCCCTTCTCAAGAACACATTCCAGTGAAATCCGTCGCAATGGTAAGGCACCCCGTTTTATTTCCCCAGACAAAAGCATATTTGGAAAGCAAAACTGAACTGATGACCTCTATGCTGGTTCACAAAATACTTGCTTATAAAATTAAATGCTAAACAATTTTATTCTAAACTTTTGAGAAATTAAATTTTTCTTAGAATTTGCTGGAGAAGTAATATTTTAGTGTTCTTTGTACTACACATTGCAACATCCTGAGCAATCTGAGTTCCACATGGGTGTATTTTCCCATATTTCATTCCAGTTTGCTCAAATTCCAATAGGGCATTTATTATATTACCAGACAAAATAGTCATACTGTAACTCTTATTTGGGCACATCAGATATTGGAACATATACAGTTATTACAACCTTCCTAGCCGCTATAAGGCTGTTACTGACTTAATTTCCCTTTTTATATGTTTTGAATAAGGAATATGTTTTGGTTAAGGAGAAGTGGTCCTGATTTTTCAGTTATCCTTTGTAAGCCTGGAAAATCATCCTGCCTCTTACTTCTCTGGATTGATCTAGATTTTGATTTGTAAAGCTGTTGAAAAAACTTGCTTTTATTAGTAAACCAAAATTGTATCAACTCTGTTCACCCGGACATAGTAAAAGACTAGGCTTCTAGAGTTTTGTATATTCTAAGCTCTTCCTTCTTACATATCTTACATATGTGCATTCTCATAATTTATGAACTCAGGATTTCTTTGATTTTTGCTTTTTTATAACTGTCCTTCGGAGCAGGAGTCTGGCCTTGATTTCTTAATAAACCATAGTCTATTTGGAAAAGTAACTCCTATCATTTTGCTGGACATCTAAATGTTCTGAATGAACAGTTATTCAATATTTACAATCCAATTATGTGTACAAATAAAGTGTACTCTTCACGTACAGCAAGCTTCTGAAGAGGAAGGACATGGTCCTTTGAGCTTCAATAGTAGGTAGAAGAAAAGATGGTGCCAAAGACAGGAAAATAGAATGGAGTATTTTAGTTACTGAGCAAGTATCTGTTGAAGGTGTAATATGTATGTAATATGTTGAAGGAGCTTCCAACTGTGCTCTAAATTTCCATCCAAGCATCCTGGCCTGATAAGAATTAGTAAAAGTCTGCCTCTGCATCTGATTCAGATGCAACAGCATAGTGTTTGGCATAGCTCAAAATCTCTTCCACTGGCAGTTTGGATTAATACAGTGAACTGTAAAAGAGACAAAGCTATAAGCTTCTTTCTGCTGCCTCTTTTATAATTAGGTCTAGCTTCCACTGGGATGCTGAAGTAGACAGCTGAAAATGGTGGTATCTTGAATTGCTTCAGCATCAATCTGAGCACTCAGTGGCTGTGTGTGGATTGATGAGCATGGGTCTGTGTCATGAAATACTGATGTGAAAGACCAGACCCTTAATTTCAGAGAGTGCTATTTCCTTCCAACTAGCTCTGGTCTAGTCTGCCATGGAATGACAGACAATTAGTGCTTGGAGTATTTAAGTGCATTTCAGGAATCCATTTTGTGGTTTGGTTATAAGGAATACTTTTAATGTGCTTTAGCACTGGTCTGTAGTGTGAATCAAGGAACTAGAATGATTAGGAGTTTTGTCTTGAAAAGGATGCTGCTGATACAAGCTGCAATGTATGTCCCATTGATACCTTGATGACAGTGTTCAAGAATCGAGCTTGGTTGTGAAGGCTGCATGAAAGATAGTGGTCTTCTGCATTCTCAGCTTTACTTTACACTTTTATAATGGTGGACTAGATCTGATGGGTGCCTTCAGATGTAGTGATTTTCTTTTACTTTCTTTATGTATAGACCCTGTTATTGAACTTAATGTTTAGTTATTTTATTAATTATTAGTTTAGATATAATTTAGTTATAATTATTTATTAATTATTAATTATGATATCCCTGAACAAGGATTTTTTTTTTCCTAATTCTTTGGTATCTCGTAATTCTGCAGTAACTTTTCCATAAAGATGTTTAATCATGTTTAATCTTAAAATGGCAGATGAACTGCTTTTAATCATGAATAGGACCTGAACACAGGATTGCAGGCCATTGACTCCTGAACTTTAATGGCTATTCTGATGCACATAATTTTTCAGCTTTGGACAAGTTATGGAATTGAGAAAACATATGTGTGTAAGGTTGAGAAAATGTTTCATTTCTCTTAAACACAAATAGTTACCTTGCATCCTGAAAACTTCACTGGAATTTAAGAACACTTGTAATTCTGTACTATAAATGTTTTATGCTGTTTAACACTTGAAAAGCCACCAGTTAATGAGGAGAGTTTTTTCTGATTTCAGAACTCTGAGATGTGGTACAAGCGACACAGCATAGCTATCGGGGAAGTACCGGCATGCAAACTTGTGTCCCGCAGGGAGCTAACACAAACAAATATAGAAGAGATATGGAAATCCATGACTTTATCACGGTGAGTATACTTATGAGTCATTTGCTGTTATAGTAAAACTGTGTAGTAGGTAATAGTCTTGTCTATCTTCTCTGGTAACACTTGTAATTTCACCCACTCACTTTTCATCGTTGCCTTCAAAGCCATAGTGTCTAGACTAACTCTGCTACTTGTGATTTGGCTAACAAATTCAGCAAATAAATTCTTCAAAAAAAACTTTACTGTGCTTAGTACCTTTTGACTTTTGCATGTTGTGTTATACAAGTCTTTGTTGTGTGGGCTTTGTCTTGTTTAATCACTTTTTTTCTCTGTCTCTCTTGTTGCTAAGAAATAAAAGCACTATGTCGAAGTGCTATGAAACCTTTCAATGGCAAATACAATACTTTATATGAGATAAATGGCATACCTAATTGAGTGCTGAAGCTTTGAGATCAGCTTAGAGATTCATTTACTATATTCAAATGTAATCTCCTATGCAAAGTTAAAGCTATTGCTTTGAACTGTTTCTGCAGAGGAAAAAATAATATATGCTAGCTTATATTACAGCATAGTTGAGGTCTTACTTATGATGACTTTAGTATGAACCTAGCACATTATCTGCATGTAATATGCTTGGTGATGGGGTGAGCAGTTTTGCTGACAGCATGATGGGCAGCAGAGGGCTTTAGTGCATGTGTATTCCTGGGTTTCCTGAACCAAGGAAACTTCAGGGGAATGGAGAGACCGTCTGGTAGCCTGGGCTCACATGGCGGTAGCTGACAGGACCTGGGCAAGTGAGACCAGGAGCAGTGGTGTCCAAGCCCCTCCTTCACATGAAGGCCCCTATAGAGCTCCAGCAATCAAAAGACAAGGGTGGGAAAATAGGGCTGGCACAGCAGATTGTGTGAAAGGATGCTGAAACCCTGACAGCTTGATCAGGGAGAAGTAGCATTCATGTGACTGAAAGTCCTGGACTCTTTACGTTTGATAATTGACACTGGGAATCACAGCTCTGTGTTGGAGAAGAGTATGACTGTGGGAGTGGGGAGACTCACAGCTGAGCTTGAATTTCTTTGAAACTTTCTACTCCAGCTGGATGTGCTTAAAGCTATGAAGCCCAATGGGACTCATCCCAAGGTACTGAAAGAAGTGGATGATATTATTGCAGGATCTCTGGATCTCTCTCCTTTTTTTTTTTTTTTTTTTTTTTAATTTATCTTGGGATTCTGTTTTCTGGAAGGTGGCAACTATTTTCTCTATTTTAGGAAAGCAAAGAACAAAAGACCCTGTTAATTACAGGCCTGTCAGTATCACTTCAGTGCCTGTAAAAATTATGGAAAATTATTCTGGGAGTTAATAATAAAATATTTGAGAGACATACAGTCATTGGTCATAGCCAGCACAGTTTCAGATGGGAAAAATATTGTGTAACCAATTAAATTTTCTTTTATGACAAGGTCACCCACCTAGTTGACCAAGGGAAGCCAGCTGATTTGGTTTATTTGCATTTAAGCAAAGCTTTTGATACTGTCTCTCACATTATTATTCTAGATAAACTGTCCAGCATGCAGCTTGATTAGCCCATGATATTATGGGGTAAGCAGCTGGTTCTTGGGTTAAGAACAAAGAATTTTAGTAAATGTGGTTATTTCTGGTGAGCAGTCATCAGTGGGGCTCTGCAGGGCTCCATTCTAGGGCCAGTGCTCTTTCATGTTTTTGTGAATGATATGGATATTATATGGAGAAATTGAGTGTACCTTAAGTTTGTCCATGATACTAGGTTAGGAGGAACTTTGGACTCATTCAAGGGTGGACAGGGCCAGCAGTGAGATCTGGGTAGAGCAAAGAGCTGTATAGTCTCCAAAAGCTTTGAGAAAGCTGAGGGATGCCCTCATTGCAGCCTACAATTTCTGGAGAGGGTGGGGCGGGGGGAGATGTGGAAGTTCTCTGGAGACCCGCGATAGGACACAAGGAGATGGAATCAAGCAGCTAGGGAAGTTCAGACTCCACACTGGGAAAACGTTCTTCACTCAGAGGGTGACAGGGCACTGGAACTGCCTCCCTGAGGAAGTGGTCACAGCACCAAACCTGACAGAATTCAAGCAGCATATTGGCAGCACTTTCAGTTATACAGTATAGTTTTAGGTATTAAAATTACGAAACCTTTTCTAGGTACTAAAACAAAACTTTTTTAGAGCTATGAAGATTGTGAAGGGTCTAGAAGGGAAGACATGAGGAGTGGTTGTGGGCTCCTGGCTTCTTTAACTTGGAGAAGAGGAGGCTGAGGGGACATTGCAGCACAATCTGTGATGGGATGTGGAGGAGAATACACTGGCCTCTTCTCTGTGGTGGCCAGTGACATGACTGAGGGAATGGCTTGAAGTTGTCAAGGGAGGCTTAGATTGGATATTAGGAAAAGACTCCTCATCCAGGGGGGGGTTGGGCACTGGAACAGGTTCCCCAGCAAAGTGGTCACAGTACCTGAGCCTGACAGAGTTTAAGAGGTGTTTGGACAGTGCTCTTAGGCATGTGGTATAGTTTTTGTTGTTGTGCTGTGCAGAGCCAAGAGTTGATCTTTGTGGATCGCTTCCAGCTTAGGATATTCTATAAATCTAGGCAGTTCTGTGAGAAGCAGGAGTTGCTCTGAATGGTCATTATGGCTGTCATCCAGCTGGAGATATTCTCTAGGAAATGAAAGTGTCTTTTTTTTCTGAATTGTATCCTAATACTTCATGTTTGCCTTTTCCAGATTATGGAGGTGTATGAATTATGTGTTTATGTATTTTTGCAGATTACAAAAGGTGTTGGGTTTGGATTCTCTGGATGAAGTGTTAGACACAAAACTTGTGAATTCGAAACATATAGTTCAAAATGTATATAATGTCAATAAGCAAGGCATTGTCACTTTAGAGGACAAATCAAGTGAGTATTTTAGAATTTTTTTTTTTTTTAATATTCTAATCTACTTTGTAAAAACTCTAGTTTTTACAATGCTACTGTTTTTAAGATGCTATTGCTTTCCTCTGGTAATAGTAACCCAATAGTAAGAGTCAGGGTTTATTCTATATTTGCTCTCTTAAACAAATTCTCGCTTTAGTAGGGTTGAAAAATGAATGTAAGACAGCAAGCAACTTTTTGTCATTTATAAATATAGGGATATTAATCACTTCAAGGTAACTTTCTCAGCCCTACCCTTTTAATTACCTGAACTGAAGTGTTTACGTGAAGAAAAAATGTTTTAAAAATTGTGAGAGAGCGAAAATGTACATTGAGAGAGTTTTGAGTTTTCAGTCAATGTTTTTTGAAGATAGTACCATGTTTAAAACTGTTCTGTGCATTAGGGAAAAAATAAAGCATCTTTACTGCTCTGATCTATCACAGTATTATTGCCACCCTGATTTTCATAGGGTTTGTAGAGAAATTTAAATATGACCTTGAAACCTGGTTTGAGTGTGAAAAAAACTGCCTTCAGAGCATATCTGTGCTCATTTCAAAGACAGTTGGACCATCTCAAAATATTAACTTCCTCCTTGCAGAAATGACAAACTGAATATATGAGTGCTTTTCATCATCTTTGGTACAAAGTAAACATTTCATTGAATAGCACTGGGGAAGACTGTATCTAGAACTGGGTTTGTCTGTTTTTTTTTGCTGATGGAGCTGTAAGGGCAGAATGCATAACTGTATAATAGTAGTGGAGGTATTGAAGTATAGATGTAATTCAAGCTAGATCCTATATTAAGGTGTAGCCTGCCTTTGGAGTCACTTGATTTACTACAGAGGAGAGGAACATGTTAAGTTGTTTTCAGCTTTGCTTTTGTCTAACAGTTGAATATTTTTCTTGTTTTTTCTTTATTGTCCTTTTAATTTCTTTTTCTTCCCTGTGCAGAGGAACTACCTCATTGGATATTATCTGCAATGAAATGTCTAGTAAATTGTAAGTAAATTCAGAAGGGGAAAAAAATCCCACAAACAACCCGCCCCCCAAAAAATAAATTGAACTGACAGTGTCTTCACTGCTTTATTAAATCCTGTTTATGATGATTTTCTAAAAGAAGGTTGGAAAAGACCTGTCAGCATGTATACTCCTTCCAGTGTAGCTTTTTAAAATTAATTATATAAAGGTTTAGCCATTCTATTAAAGTTTTTCCTCTACTTTGTGTCTTCACTAAACCTATTGGGAATAGATCAGTCAAGTAGTAGATCAACAAAATTTTACTTATTTTGAAGAATCAATTTTTTTTAAAATTTTTTTTCCCTCTAATGATCCATTTTAATGGGCTGGATTAGAAAACAGTGATCTGCTCAGTGGCTGAAAATCAATATTCTCTCTCTTTTTTGCTCCTTTTTTTTTGGTTTTTTTTTTTTTTGTTCTTTGTAGGGCCCAGCTGTTCAGATCTGAAGCAGCCTACATACTCAGGCTTTGAAAGAGATGTCTTCAAAACTATAGTGGACTACTTTGACCAGATGAAGGAACCTCTTCTCACATTTCATTTTTTTGATATTTTTGTTAGTGTGTTAGGTAAGTAGTTTGGAATCTAATGAAAAAATATTCTTTACAGTTCATTTCCTGGAGTTATTTTACCTTACTTAAATACTATCACAGATGAATTCTTTAGGACCTGTCCTTTCCATTCTACAAAGAGAAGAGTTGAATATTTAAATTTATATCACATGGAGGTTTTATTTTTGTATCTTTTTGATCACATTAGTTCAAAAGTCTTTCATTGCTTGTCTTTATAATATTAAAGGCCTCTGTTCATGGCTCAGCATCCAGCAGATGGATTTAAACAGATTTTTCTTTTTTTACAAGTGCTTAAACGTCTTAAAAACTCTCATAAGCTTCTAGAAATTGCTTGACTGAAGTCTAGATTAGAAAGGATTAGGGCTTTAAGCACAGTTCTTAACCCTGGAGATATGATAGTTGAAGGGAATTGAAATATTATATTGCTGTAATTTAGAAATGACATTAATGTAGTGTTTAAAAGAAGAAATGTTTTAGTTATTAACTAGAACTTTCCAGGGTTCACACTATATTAAAATTGACAATTCTGATCCTATAGATGGCTTACTGAAAGAAAGTAAATAGGAAAATATTTGATTGTATTTTATGTAATCAAATTTCAGAAAGAATAATTGAGTTGAAAAGTAAACCTGCTTTGTAGTATGTTAGTTTTTTGAGCTTCTTTCTGTGTAAACAACACTCTTTTTAGTAAACTATTGAGATGAGAAAGGAATCCAGAATGACACTTCTGTTTCTGGAATTGAGTGTATATACTTTGTGAGTGGTCAATTTTGCTTCATATGGAATATAATTCAGTTTTCTGACTTCTTTTTTTTAGACAACTCTTGTTGATATCTTTAAAACTTATTCTTCTGCTTTCATACTCTATTTCTGTTCGCTTTTCCATCTTTCAGGTTTCACTACTTTCATTTCACAGTATTTCGTAAACGTAAAATTAGAAGAAATATTTCATGCCAGTATGTATGTGGAAGCAATGAAAATTGTGTAATGTTTCAAGAAGTCACACATTAATTTTGTGGTATCTTTAAAAAAGAGTGTTGATATGGAATCATTCCTTACTGTTCTAAACATATGTGTTAATATACTTGCCAAATCTTCCTTTGAAATTAGAAAAAGCTTTACTATGAGAAGTCCTCTCCTGAGGAGGAATAAGCAGAGTTAGGCACAGATTTAATGTCTGTAGGTGTGAGGCACATGTTGATATTGTCATAGCTGTCACTGATGCATAAGCATGTTTTCTTTCCCGCTGATTGTTGCCACATACTTAACATTTTATGTAACATGGTTGCTGTATCTGTGCATACCATTCAGTTGTGTGTAGTGCTGATGTAATAGAAGAGCAAAGGATGAAATAAAATATAATTTTTTGTGTATTCTAATATTTTGAGTTATTGGTTATGGGTATCAATGTCTTCCAGTGCATCAGAAGAAAATCTTCTAAAAACTTAAACAAGTCCTAGTAGTCCAATTTTAGTGATATCTTTCTAGTCTCATTGGGGAGTGGAGTTCTAAGGCAATCTTGAATGAGTAAGAGGGGAATTTTGGGAGTTAGATTTAGAAATATTATGTTAAATGTTATGGAAATATATAACTGAAAAATGTTTCCTAACCTTCTGATCTCATATAAACCAGGACTACTGCAAAAACCCAACAAGGCTGTAGAAGCTCTTCAGATATCTTGTCTCCTGCTGCCACCAGAAAATAGGAAAAGACTACAGCTGTTGGTGAGAATGATGGCAAGAATTAGTCTAAACCAGGATATGCCACGTCTTTCTGAATCAGTGAGGACCAGAACTTTGGTACGTATAAGTGTAAGCTAAAAGGTTGGACAGACTTTCGGAGGAGCACAGGTTAAAGATTCTTACTGGAGAGTATGAACAAAATACAGTTTTCTTGTTTAAGGAACTGCTTTGTCTGTCCCAGCTATTTGGAAAGCTAATCTGGATTTGAATAAAGTGGGATTTTATGGCAATTAGTGAGCACACAAAGAACTTGCTCAGAATTTAGAGGTTCCCTTATCTTTCAAAGTCAAATCACCACTGATTTCTCTAATGAGTAGGAAAAAAGCAACCCCCAAAAACAAATGAGCAAAATCAACCAAAAAAGAAAAGCAGATGAGGTCTCTGTTGTTCTTTATCACTGCAGACAGTGTGAATGAAAAAGACTGCCCGTTTCAAACAGTCATAGTAAAAATATGGAGCTGAATGTTCTGATTGACCTGTTTTCAGCCATTCAAAAAAATTAAAATCCCAACTGTTTATTTCAGTCGTTGGTTTTTTTCACTACACACAGAAGTCTCTTAAAGTAAGCTCCAGTTTTTGCTGATTCTTTTTCTGTAGGAGCTTATGTAGTGATATCACTACACTGATGTTTCCAACAACACCTTATTACAAAGTTATTCGGTATAACTTAACTGTTCTGACTAGCTAACAACATGTATTTATTTTGGTTAATTTAAAAGTCTTTGAAAATTAAGTGCAATGGAAAACTAAGCTGCAGAGCCATTCTGTAAAAATCCTACAGCAGCATGCACAAATATAAATGTGCTCCACAGCAATTAAGTTTTTAGTGAACTCTGAATAGTATTTGATTAAAATAATTAATTTTTTTACTGCCAAGGTTATAATTTAATTAACTGTTAAGTGGTCTTTCATTAAAATTTTTGTTGCAATTCAAATGTTGTTTTTAGAAGTGAATCCTTACAGTCTGAGTGTTTTGTGCTGTTTTAATTCAGCAATGTAATGTATGGTACATGACAGAAATCTTTATTGCCTTCTGTGATTTTAATGTTACAAACAAAAAATCTTGTAACTGAGTGCTTGAGCATAAGACTACCTGAAGTTAGCTGAACCTGAAACTTGATTTGATGATTTCAGAATAGTGGTTTCAAGTTTTCCCTGTGGTACCTAATTTCTATTAAATTTCCGTGTTATTTTAAAAAAGTCTAAATATATATGCCCTCTTTAAATAGCCTTGTAAAGTGGCTATTTGACAAAGCCTTGAGAATAAAATGGAATTAATTTATTCCATAACTAAAGTCAGGAGTGGATTATCACTATGAGGCAGGAGCAATCTTTAGTGCACTCACATAATGTCCACTGTACATAATACATTTTTTAAAAAATTGGTATGTTTGAAGTACAGTAAGTATTGTGATGTTAAAATATTTGTTCTAAAAGATCACTTTTAAAATGTAGCCTGATTCTTTACTCCTCACTCCCAAACAGAAAAATACATTATAATGGTGTGGGATTTTTTCCTCAGATGGTTCAGGCGTTTTCCCGTTGTATTCTCTGCTCAAAGGACGAAATAGACTTGGATGAACTTCTTGCTGCTAAACTAGTATCTTTTCTCATGGATAATTATCAAGAGATCTTAAGTGTTCCTTCTGCTTTAAAGACTTCCATAGAGGATCATGTTGCACATCTCCAAAGAGTCCAAGTAAGTATCTAGTGAAAAAACCTCTTCTGTCTCTCTGTTTCTAGATTGAATTTATCCTTTGTTCGCTGAAGATCAACAGTTCTTAAAAGACTTTGTTCTGTCTCTGTTAGCTCTGTTAGCTCTGTTCTGACTCTGTTCTGTCTCTGTGAGAGCTAATTAATTTTGACTACTGACATTCAGCCATAACTACGTGTTTAAATGAAACTAAAAAACTACTCATTTGTTTAGAGACAAGAACTCTCAAATATGTTTTCCTGTTTGGCAGCACTGTCTTCCCCTGAAATGGGCAAATTATGTTTGTGGTAGTGAAGAAAATGGAATTATTAAGTGTTTTTTCATTAATGTTCCAATTTTTTTTCTTTAGAGCCATCCTTACTTGCTCAGTTTTTTCATCTTTTTCCTGATACCATATTTTGTTTTTGTTCAAAGATGATTTTTAGTTCTTTTGTCTATTTTCCACAAGAAAAGTAACTTTTAAACATATTTCAAGAGCTGAACGTGCTTCCTATGTGTTATGCTTTTTGACTTACTGGAACTCACTCAGGGCGGGAGATAAAAATTACAGTTTAGGGTCTCTATTCAGTATTTCTTCTGTTAATGTCTTGGGGTGATCAATTGATTAAGCCAATTTATGCAAGTGTTTTGTAAAAAACATAGCTTTTTTTTTTTTTTTTTTTACTGTATCTTCAGATAAAATATGCTGGAGCTGATAGTGATGCAACACTTCCTCCTCCATCATTTTGTCACCAAATCACTACAGGTGAATTTGAATACCAAAGGGCAACTGGCTCTCAAGAACCACTGGCAGCTTTGTTGGAAGAAATTGTAATGAATAAAGAAATATCTGTGAAAGATAAAAAGAAGAAGCTCAAGCAAGTAAATAAAAATTTCTCCACAGTTTCTAATTTCAATTTGAAAAGATTTATCAAGTCTTAGACATGTATTCTTCTAGAGAAATACTGAAATTGGAAATAGTGGTCACACATGGGAATTTCAAGATTTACAATAGTTTAGAACAAGTATGCTGAGATGAATCAACCCAAATCAGAAATACTGCCTAATTTTCTATATAGCATTGTAGAAAGTCCATTAGAGATATAATTTCCCTGTTCCAGAAATGCAAGCTTCACTTTAATAGTTTATTGTACATGTTTGAACAAATTCTTAATTTGAATTAATGTACTTTTCTAGTTTCAGAAATCTTACCCTGAAGTGTACAGAGTACGATTTCCTAGCCCTGAAACCGAAGCGATGGTATTTCCTGAAAAAACTAAACAGAAACCACCAATACTGATGTGGGCCTTAAAAAAGCCTTTTCAACCATTTCACAGAACCAGAAGCTTTCGGATGTAAATGGTTTGAAATGTATCGGCAAACAAACAGAGACACACTGTATTGTCAATGGATCTTATGCAAAAGGAGCCTGAGCACCACGTGGTTATTCAAAAAAACTACTGGGGATACTGCTGAGATCATAGAAAATGTTGAAAGAAGAGGAGAATATTGAGGTTGTAGTAATGTGAACCATTATCAGTATTTTTGTAAAGCATTATTTTTTTAAATGTCTGTTACTTTAAAACAAGCAACAAAAAACGAACAAAAATACCTAAACAAACAAACCCACCACACACTCAAGGGGATTATTCTATATATGGGTGATAATGTATACTTGCTGTGGTTTGGTTTGACTATCATTTTAAGGCCTAAATGTATTTGTATGTAATGTATTCTTTGCAACTAGTCAACAGCATTTTTTCCTCCCTGAAAATGAGTGTCTTGCATAAACTAGGCTGTATTTCTGCACATATAGTGTGAGGAATTAACTTACTGTACATGCTTGAGTAAGTATGAAACACTGGATTTTGCTTTGCGTTTTGTGAGAGAATAATATTAAAACTTAATGATGCAACCAGTCGGCTGTTTGCACCCCTCAGCCACAGGGCAAGGGGAGTGTTTTTGGGTATGTGGTTATGCAACTTCTAGGTCTGCCCAGGTGCAGAGAGGATGAGCACTCATCACCAGAGGATGACCATGACAAACCCACCTTTGTGTAGCACCAAGCTGGGGTTTGAGACAGGTAAGGGAAAACACCTCTGAGAAGCAGACCCTGCAATGTGGGATGCTGGTTTTAAACATGCCCATTTCCTCCCTTACACAACTGGCTCAGGTAGAAGATTCTCTCCCATCCTGAGAGAGATTCAGGGACATTGACACGTAGGCCTGAGGATATTTATCCCTTCTGTTAAGGCAGAACTGGCTCAACTAAGCTGGCATGACAAACATGGTACTTGTCTTTGCCTCCCAACTTATTTCTTGGGCCTGCCACCAGAGGACTGCACATGATCCACAGTGTTACAAGAGACATTGTAAACCTTGTTCCTGAGGAGAAGTATCTGGGCATTCTCACCTGAACCTATGGAACCCGTTGGACTTTGGGTTTCAGGGATTTCCCCTGGCCCTGATGTGTTGAAATTGTAACTTACTTCAAACACTGGACATCTAAATTGCAAAAATCACGTCTCATAGGGTGGTGGTGTCTTTCCTCTTCACTATCTGATCTTATCCTTTCTTATTTTTTCCTTGTATATTTTCTCAAGTGTAATCATTTTACTTTTATATTGCTCTATTTCTATAGATAATATTACTGAGTCTGCTACATACTTTCTTTCCATTTTAACCAAATTATTCCAAAACCAACCTATTATCTGTCTGTCTATCTATGTGTCTACCTATCTATTTTATTTATAAAAACCCCACCATTCATTCAGTGTTGTGTCACTCTAGTCTGCTGTGAGGGATCTATTAACAAGAACCTCAGTTAACCTGCCTCAGGGGCAGGTTGTAACATTGCTGACCCTAACATGGCAGATTTCTTTTTGAAAACTAATTCTCAATTTTCTGATTCATATGGTGCATTACAACTTGAGTGAACTTCCTTTGCAATTCCATTAACTTTATATAATGCTGACCTATTCTGACAGGCAACACAGCCTTTTCCCCCTATTTTCTTACTGCATATTGTACAAAGCTGGGTGCTTGACAATAGAATATACTTTATCAGAAAATTTTAAAGCCCTGAAGTTCCTCTAAAAATGGAATTCAAATATTGAAGTGGCTTTGTAGCATACATGCATTTAGTGATTTGATTCATTTTGCATTATGAAACTTAGTGTGCCTATAATCTGACTGTACATATTACATAGTTGATTCTGAGACCACTTTTTTATCTATTAAAGCAATGCTCTTTTCCTCTATATACCTAGAGTCGTGATTTCATGCTATTCATTAGAGATTTGAAAAACAGCATTTCATAGCATATTGAATGTCAGGGTAGTCTATGCTGGAGAGAAGACAGCTGACATCTCAACAAATTTCTGAAATTTTAGTAGAAAATCTAATGCAATATCAACAGCATTTGTACCTTGCTAACTTCCTAACCAGTCAATAAGTTTCATTATGTACATTACAAGGTGGTTGCTTTAATAGACTGGATTATTTCTAGGGCAGTATGATATTGAACAGAACATGTTTTCATGTACTCATGTTCTCACAGAGATACTTGGACTTCATAGCAATAATCTTAAGCAAATTTGATACAGAAAGATACACTTTTCAAGTATTAAGAAAATATAAAAATTACTTTCAAAAATGGTCTGAGGCTATTTCTAACCTTTTGTGCTAGGTCTTCAAGGGTGAGAAAATCTTAGATGTATTAGTATTCTCTGTATGTTTACGTACTGTCAAACTTTGACTGTAACTAGACTACTCACATATATTTTGTTACTTCACTAATCCATGAAGTATGATAATTAGTAAGACTGGTTGCAAGCAAGTCTTGCATAAAGTGGAAGGCCATCCTAAGGCATCTCTGCTATCACTTCCTAAATTGCAGAGAAGTTGAAGCCAATCTATCTGTCCTTTGAAATTATCTTAATGCCTGCCAATAAGGCTTCTGCTGTCCTCTTGAAATTTTCCCTATTATCCCTTAAAAAAATATGTAGCTTTCCTGAGTCTATTTTAAACAGCAATTAAGGTTTACTAATTAGTTTTCATGATGAGAAGTTGAAGATAAGACATATGTTTTTATGAATTGATTGTTCTTTTTTTTCAGAGATCCATGACTGTGATAGAAAAACCCAAAAAAAGTCAGTTTGCTCACAATTTCCAAGGCTGTGAAAAATACAAAATATCTTCGAAAAACTTGAAGGAACTGTAGGGAGAAAATTTTATTTGAGATCATAATCTCACAGACTGAATTTTAACTGTGCTCATGTCTTGGGAGACACTTTAGAGAAGTTATGTGAGTATGGCTCCTTATTACAGCTGAACCAAGTGCAAATATGCAAGATTAATAGGGTAGGAACACAAAAGTAAGGTTAGCTAGGTAAATTTGCCTATTCCTTTCAGGGTGCAGGTTATAAAAAGTAAGCTTGAAACCTAATTCAGGGAAGACTGTAAGCTTGGTAAAATATCTCAGAAAAAAACAGAGATTCTCTAACCCTAAACTGTAGGCAATAGAAACTTCACTTTTGATATTAACTTTCTCATGAATTTAGCATTTACTTCTGTGTTAAAGCCCTGCAATGCCTTGATATTGCCAAGGCTGAACATCATGGTGTCCCCTGGGTTTATTTCCCTTGAACCATGAGGCCTACAAGCCAAACTTTGTTTTGCTTCTTACTAGTGTCTGTTCTGAAGAGCCTCACTAAATGGAGGACAAGCTGATATTTTTTAAAAGCACATCAGGAGGAAGACTCAAAAAAGGCAGATGTTGCTGCTTTTTTGGTCTGGTTAAACCTATGTTTGTCATCTAAGTGGAGCGTGTGGTGAAGTCTTGTATGTAAGTAGGAGCTAATTCTTCTTAAATTTGGATAATATTTAACTTGTAGTACTGAAGCTTCTAGTGTAATGCCACTAGTTGTCAAGGTAGTATTAGGCATTTTGAGCAAGATCTTTCAGCAGAAACATTGTATGGGAGGGGTTTTTTGCGTGTGGTGTTGTTGTTGTTGGTTTTTTTTTTGTTTGTTTGTTTTGGTTTGGTTTTTGTGGGTTTTTTTTTGATTGGTTGGTTTTGTTTTGGTTTTTTTGCTGTGTTTTTTGCCTTCTGCAGGGCAATCTTTTTTCTCTCACCCTCTACTCCACCTTGAGCATAACATCTCTCCTGACCTACTGGTTATTAATGACACATCTGTGACAGTTTTGCTCCAGCACTTATCAAAGAGGAAATAATGGTATTTATCTTCCTTTCTTGAGAGGGAAGCCGAGTCTTTGCTTAGCATTGCTCTTTCTCCTTACACAAACACAGCGTGTTGCAGCTCCTAAATTAACAATCAGCCATCTGCAAAATGCTTTAGTCTAGTCCTGTGCTTTTGATTGAGTAATAGCTGCCATTCTTATTTGCTAATATGTAAGGATTATTTAATCACTCATATTTTATGAGAGGTCTCTAACTCCTCGTTGATGTGCCAGGATTGTGATATCAGCTGTTTACACTCATGACTACAGAGAATGATTGATGACTAATGTTATTTTCTGAAATTATTTTCAGATGTTACTTCACTTTATATCACAGGAAGCTTAGGCAAAATCTATGTGATCTTGCCTTCATAGTCTGCTAAATGGAAGTGGGAACTAAAGTGAAGTAGACAGTGTGTTAATATACCACACTTTTTAATTTATTGTGGTGATATGTCATAGCCTTTTTTGCCCTCTTTTATATGAAGATGTTTTACATTGTAAGAGCATCTCTTTCACAGAGTCTGTGCTAACTCAAATAACTGGCTTTATTTCTTCACAATTTTTAGGGTTTCCTGTTGCCTGAGAACCTAGGATTCTAGCTCTAGAAAAACCTCATATCTTAGATTTAAAATCCATAAACTCACAGATACAACTCTGTAGGTATTTTATTGCTTTGGAACTTTTGGTGTACTTTGTAATAGCTCTCATGCATTAACACTACTATTTTCATGAATTCATTAGTCTTGAAGCAGAAGTGGGAGGAGAGAAGCTTTTCAGAAAAATAAAATTTATAAAATGGGTTTTACTGCAAATCCATTTCCAAAGATTTGCAAATCTTTGGAAATAAATTTGCAGTATGATATTTTTTAACCAACATCTCCTGTATTAGATGTCAGTTTAGAGGTTTGATATTTTTCTGTATAATCTCAGATTTTAGAATAGTTGTGCATCTAGGACATCTTCTCTTTCCATATAAATCATGTTTTTGAATTGAGTGTTGCATTCTACTGACTAAAAGGAATTGGCAGATTTACTAAATATAATTGTTTAAAATTATGTGCCATAACTTCCTTTACATGAGTTCTTGTTTATGTGTTTAACTCACATTTAATATT